TGGAAAAATGCGCATATCTCAGTAATTATGCGCTCAAAGTTAATGTTGCCAGTCTTAAATTGTTCCCCACAATACAGTGCATCGACCAAATGCAACTGAACCCCATAATTGGAGGAATTATTTCTACCAGTGTTAATATGTTACATATTCAGTGTTGACAGAAATGATTCTTCCGATTATGGGGTTCTGCGGTATTGAGTCGATGCACTGAGTCATCAGGAGTAATTTGAGACCAACTGCGTTCATTTTAAGCGCCTATTTACTGAGATATTCGCACTTTTCCAACATTAGGAATTTTCACTCACCTGTCGGTATGATTTGGCTAGTAGTTTGCGCGAATTGCCACGAGTGGCGCCACCGGTCGAAAAAATAGTGGTATTCCGCGATTAAATGCGATTTTAACAGTGTTCTGGTCGTTTATTGTTATTGTCAATGACAGGGGATTAATCTACGTTCTTTAAGCTACAAATCGAATGCTTGGTCAAGACGAAAGTTGTCAGGATAACGTTGTATGACTTGTCCAAAGTGAACTAAACGGGGTACGCATCGCGAGATAGAGTGTCAATCGTTGCAAACAATTGAGATTTTAACAATGTTCTTGTAATTACTGGTTCCCACCTGCCAGAGAGTACTAATCTGCGTTCTTTAAACTTCGAATGTAATCCATGACGAGGAAAACTGATGCTCGTTTAGCAGTGTAAATCCGATCGATACCTGTGGCAAGTACATAACCACTGAACAGGCAACACTTTTCTTCGTCATGCACTACATTCGAAGTTTAAAGAATGTAGATTAGTACCCTATAACGGCTGATTCGTCTTGACCAAGCACTCGACTTGTAGCTGAAAGAACGTAGATTAATCCACTGTCATTGATAATAACAATAAACAATCAGAACACTGTTAAAATCGCATTTAATCGCGGAATACCACTATATTTTTCGACCGGTGGCGCCATCCGTGGCAAATTGCTGAAACTGCTAGCCATATAATTGGTTAACAGTTTCACCGATTCGCCACTACTACAGATCCACTGCGGGCCGCGGCCCTCTGCACCGTGCAGACTGCACGACGACCAACGTCGACTCGCATTCGACCTCCCTCGATATCCCTAAGATGGCGGAGATTAAGGCGCGCACGCATTGTCGCCCGCTACAACCACGCACAACATTCGAAGTTTCGCGGATTGTGCCTTACAGTTTATATAGTTTGTAAATAAGCAATACAAAAAAATGAAACGTTTAACCGAAGAGAAAACGAAACTCGTCTTAGAAAAATTAACAAAATAGTAAGTGTAATCTTTACATTGAGTTACATCGCAGTTAACTTACTGTACATTTTTCTGTTGTTTTTAGAAATCTCGTGATTATCTCTGTTTATCTATGTATATTTATTTTTTAGTATTGGGGATAATGTAAAAGTATTGATAGATAGACCAGATGGTATTTATTGCTTTCGAGAAAGGAAAGGCAGGGTCTATTACGTATCCGAGAAAATTCTACCGTATGCAAGTCAGGTTAACCCTGATCGATTAGCAAGCTTTGGAACATGCTTCGGAAAGTTTACAAAGTCTGGAAAATTTAGGCTACATATTACTGCATTGTATCATCTAGCTCCATATGCACAAGTAATTATTATATTAGCATGTTTCTTTTAAATCTTATAAAAATTTATAGTCTGCTCTGAATATAATAATAAATATTTGAATTCGGTTTAGCATAAAATCTGGCTCAAATCATCCGCTGAGCAACAATTTTTATACGGACATAACATTTCCAAGTCCGGTTTAAGTAGAATAACAGACAATACACCTCAATATCAAGGTGTTGTTATATTCTCAACAAATGACATACCATTGGTAAATAAAATATTGATATTGCCTAATACCTTTATGTCATAAAAAAGGAATTATTAATTTTATTCAAACAAATTATAATTTTCATTTTGTTATAGGGTTTCGGTGTAACTGCAAAAAGTACAATGGACTGCAAGTATGCAGACCCAATGGCGATAGTGTGTTTCCATCAAGCTGACATAGGAGAGTACATTCGATCAGAAGATTCTTTAATTTAGTAACACTGTAAATTATACTGGTTAAGTTTTAGGATACTAAATACACGCTTATATATTTTCATTTTAAAGAATATCTTACGATTTATCCTCTGTTTCGATATCACCGTGTTTTAGTATCAAATACGAATATTTACACAATAGCAAAATACGAATTCTTCAGAGGAATCAGTTTCTAAGAAACTGTTATATAATTACAAAATGCGATGAAATCAGTCTACCAAGTACTCCATTTGATATTTACAAACTAAAATTACTTGAAAATTGTGCGAAATCTTTATTTTATTTATGTCCATCGTATAACGTAATAATTCTTTTTCCCAACTCTGACTAATGTCACGTTGTTCCTCATTATATGTATTCCTGGTACAAGAACCTCCTCTGTGTTCGTAATCTTTTGATAGTTAATGGAGAAGCCACCGGCCGCAATAATTCTTCTTGCGTCAGATTCCCATTTAAAGCAGTTTGCTCTCATTGCTAGTTCATAAACAGTAAGACTAGGTTCGGGTAAAAGATCCACTATCGTTGCCCCGTCTAACAGCTGCGACAGTTCATCTGCATTTATTCTTGACAGAGAGTCGATAGATTTCTCATAAAGAATAGCGGATGCTCTTTTTGCTGCTACTAGTCCCTCATCTGCAAGTGATATTTCATACAAACTTAATACGAAAGTTTCATAGCTGCAACTAAATTTCTGCATCCAAAATACTGCGCTTTGTTGACCACCTACATCAAGCTATTTCAACCACTGCATATTTACCTCCATGTATTAGTAATGTGACTTGCTCCGCAAGAATTTTCTGTGCTCTTCTAAGCTCGGGATTTCTGAAGTGATCTTCAACAATTTCTCGAATTCTGTGCAAAGGTATAAATGTAAAGAAATGAAGAAACTTCTCGACATCTGCATCTTCGGTTCTAACAAAGTACTGATACAGCTGAAAACTCGAGGACTTCGAAGAGGATAGCCAAACCGCATTGCCAACAGACTTTCCAAGTTTCTTTCCACCTTCAGTCGTGACTAGTGGTAATGTTAATCCGTAAACTTGCTTATCCAGGTACTTAGTTACTAGATCGTAACCAGTCATAATATTCCCCATTTGATCTTGACCTCCGACCTGGAAGCTGCAGTTGTACGTACGCTGTAAATGTAGCCAGTCATATCCTTGGAACAGAGGATAGCTGAATTCAGTGAAGCTCATTCCAGTGTCCGATTGTAATCTAGATTGTACAGAGGAACGTCCGAGCATTGTGCCCATTCTGAAATATTTGCCAACGTCCCTGATGAAAGAGATTATATTCTTGTTGTTGTACCAGTCTAAGTTGTTCAGTATCGTCACAGGTCTCAAATCGTGTTGCAGCTTCTTACAAAAATGTCTTTCATGATTTCGAAATATCTTCTTAATGTTATTGTTAATAGATTGCAGATTTTCATTCAGCACTATGTTCTCTATTTCAACACGTTCTGAATTTCTAAAGCTTGGGTCCCCTATTAAGCCAGTCGCACCTCCTAATAAGATAATTACTTGATGACCACAACGTTGCCAATGCAAGAGGTTTATAAGAACTAACAAATTTCCTATGTGCAAACTTTCAGCAGTCGGATCGAATCCTGCGTAGACACACTGCGGTGGTTTCCTCCATAATTTCTTTATAGTGTCCCTAAATATTATTTCCATTTTAATTAGACAAGTTCAATATACTGTGGTCTTAACCCTCAGAAGGTAGATATTTGTCAGAAATAAGATTAGTACTTAAAAAAAATCAATCTCAGCCTACCCCTGAATTACAGACACTTCAACGCCAGGAAACATTCTTGTTGGATCTACCTGCAGTAAGGAATCATTCCTAAAGCTGAGTCAATATGAACCCTAATACCACCGTCCGAGGGTTAATGTTTAAAAATTATTTATGAAACAGCTAAAAGTAGTATTTTCACGCATATAAAGGATGTAAAGGAACAATTTGTTTTTCAAATGAAAAATATATAACGATCAAATAAAGTGATGTCATTTGATAATTTTTTAAGAATTGAATCAAGAATGAGACTTACAGATAGATGTCAGGAAAAATATCTTCATATAACTGTCTATTATCGGCGTCTAGCACATATTTCGCCGTGTGTAAGCGGCGAGCATTTAAATGTCTTGTGAATGAACATAACCTCACTAAGCTGTTCATTGTTCAGTAACTATTTATTTACAAAATAAAAATATCACTTCACAATCGTTAATTCATTCAACTTTCGTAATCAACGGCTTAATTAAGTCCCCGGTATGAAGACTTTTTTTGCCTCGGCAAGCGTACCCTGTGAAACATAACCCTAAAAGTGAACCACCTCAAGATGGTGGTACCGGTGGTATCTTCTCAAAATGAGTTATCAGATAAATATGAATTAAAATCAAGTACATACCTACTGTATGTACATATTCTTTAAATTATGAATATGTACATTTATTAATTGTTTAAGTAATATTACTGTTCTAAAACTTTAAATGCTTTTTCATTTGCGAATATCTCATTAAATAGAAACGTTGCAATGGTAACAATTTTAGATTCTGAGGGAGCAAATTGGGAGCAATTTTTTAAGATAAAAATTGTTAAAAAACACTAATATTCGGCGCCAACTGTTCTTCGGTAAATTTAGTCCCCTACAGCCCCGAGATGATCAATTATCGAGCTCTAATGTACTTATCTACGTCCGCTTCAGCAGATATTAGTCGAAGTAGAAAATCCCTTCGGTAGATGGCAATACACGGCCATCTTGGTACAAGAAGTATCATTAATAAAAAATTATCATTAAAAACTTTTCGAATTGTTGCAAAAATACATTGTATATTTTTCAAAACGTTCAATCCAGTATTTAATCATATAAAAATCGTTTCCAAATTATTTGGTAGGTAATTATCATAGAAATGTTTAAGAAATATCCTCAAGAATAATCTATAAAAATTCGAATTTGCACAAATACATATTTTCAATCTCTTCATAGGATGAAGAAATATCCTTTTTTTGTGGTTAGGACGTACCGAGTATTTTCTCATTGTTCTAAAGTTTAAATAAACAAATGCAACTATATAACTATATTTACGGTATAAATGTCGAAATCTCCTGTCTAATCTCGGAACTGTTCTATTTCCAAGCTCGTAACATTAATAACCGGAGGTGTTCTCGTAATAACGGGAGGCATTAAATGCTTTTTCCATCCACGGTTTTATTTGCACGGTAATTACGGTCTTCTTTTTAATGTATTTCCCGGTGGCTGCGCACAGGTGAAAAGAAACCGATCTTCTGGATTGCCCAAGTCCCCGGATAATACCGCGTTTAGTAACGATTAACAAAGATGACGGTGTAGATGTCGTAATACGACGGTAAAATGTAATTAAAACGAATCATGTGAAATGGATCCCACGAAATTCCAATAAACCTTCATAGCGTATGATAGACTAAAACAAAAATAATACACTTGCGTTCTTGACTTTAAAAAATTATGATTGCTTGATCACTATTTTTGTACAAGGAATTGTTAATTAGAGCTAGAGTTAGGATAATTGTCAAAATTAATACCTTTGGATTAAATTGATTGAATTAATACTTCCCAGATAGCACATAACGCCTATTGATGCCTTGAAGACAGCTTAAAAGCGCTTTAGACCTAAAGTAGCCGTAAAATGGGCGTCTTCAAGACGTCATGTGCTATCTGGGTTTAGACTGGGAATATTGAATAGACCGAAATTTTATAAATTAATTTCTAATACGGTAATATTTCATTAGGCATCATTCGGATCTTAATTGCATCCCAGATAGCATATGACGCCTTGAAAACGTCCATTTAACGGCTATTTTAGGTCTAAGGCGCCTTTAAGCCGTCTTCAAGGCGTCACTGGGCGCTATGTGTTATTTGGGATTGTGTTATGTTTATTTGAATATTCTGTAAGTACATATAAGATCTACAATCCACTGATGAATGATTCATTTTTATTCAAAAAAATTGTGACTATTTAATCAGTAGGTAGCTATTCTGTTAACAATTTTTTTACAGTAATTGTATGGACATAAATATCTGTATAATAGTAAATTCGAAATTTTTCATGTTAATTCTTGACAGAAATTTATTTCTTGTATTTTTATGTTAACATTTTATTTTTATATTTCTGTACTCTGACTGTATGGTTTACGTTGATCGCCATCTAATGATGGCGACTAGAAAGCTTGTAATTATCTCTTCTCGTTGGATCGTTTACTTTCTATCTGGGATAAAATCACAATATCAAGATTTTTACACTGGATAATTTTCAATTAACAATTGTCCACTAACCATACAAAAAAAAAACATTTAAACTTAGCATACTTCTGTGATTATACAAAAATACAGTTAAAATCGTGATATTGTCAATTTTGGCAGGTGGCTCTAATAATTCGTTCGCTCCTTGTACTGTGATCGATTAGTGAATCCTCTTATACACGAAGTCGACTCGTAAAACGTCGCCAAACGTGGTTTCGATTTATTGCATAACACTTTGGTCACAGTGATTCGTGCAAAAAGAAAACTCGCCTCCGAGGTGGCCGCTTTTTATCGCGGCTGCTGAGCACGTGCGAATACGCGGAGCGGATTTAATAGCTTCCTTTCAACTTCATTTCCGTGATTCTTTTTTTTTACATGTGTTGTAGTCACATTCTGCTTCGAAGAATTATGGGGCAACAGTTTAATCGGTTGAAAAATACTTTACGACGTGTTGGAAACAAAAACTCTCAAAAAAAATGTTCGTCGAACGTCGAGAGATTATTTTCGACAGAAATTATATCATTTAATGATACGTATTGTAAGATATAATAATATAAGATTAATTCTTCATTTAACCCTTCAACGCCCAGTGTAATGTACACGTTCCCAGATAGCAAATGACGTCTTGAAGACGTCCATTTTACGGCTATTATAAGTCCAAGACGCCTTTAAGCCGTCTTCAAGGCGTCATTAGGATTTTATCGTGAAAATACAGATGAGGTGCACATATTAGGACCATTTTTGAGTTAATTAGTCGTAGGAAATAATTTTTTTCCCTCAAAGAAATATCTGGGCATTAGAGAACTAAAAATAAATTTTGAAAAAATTTTAAAAAGTAGGTGGCTTAATATCGATATTGTCGATTACAAAATAACAAGATACAACATATATTTTAGTCTCGTGGATTTCAAATAATGATTTAAGCCTGTGGGCGTTAGAGAATTAAAAATAAATTTTGAAAAAATTTTAAAAAGTAGGTTGGTTTAATATTGATATTTTCGATTACAAAATAACAAGATACAACATATATTTCAGTCTCATGAATTTGAAATGATGATTTAAGTGGCTGAGCGTTAGAATGGGTCAAGTGTGCCGTCTATAGATAACAGTTGTACTAAGAGGATTCCAAAACTCTGTAATAAAAGAGAATCTTACTAATTTCGTCAGAATCGTAACTTTCCCGAGTTCGAAATAAGCCAAGTTTCCACCTATCGATCGTGTGTACAAAAGTATTTACTAGACTGCGAATGTTTATGCATTTATAGCCTCCCCTGACTTGCAAAACGTAGCAAAATAAGGATCCCAGTAAAATTTAATATTAGAATAAAATTACCCTAGAAAAGAAATTTCTTTGCAATTTTGTTTTTTCTTTATTAGTGTCAAAAAATGTAAACTTGCTAGGCTGACACCTACTGGTAGGTTGCCTTCTATAATAATCTAACATACACAATGCTGTCAAATTAGAATAAGAAAATAGATAAATAGAATTACGTAATTGTACCATATTTCATGGATTTGTGGAAGAATATACCCGGACACGTGTAAGCAGTAACATAGAATCTCGAGAACGAAATTCTGGATGGGACACGAAGTATGTACATTTATTGCAGAATTACGGAATATAGTACAGCCTCCAGTATACGAACTAATACGAAGACATAAGTGTTCGGATAATAGAACAATCACTATTTCGATACTAAACTTCATTTATTTCAATAGAGATTAAGACAAATTAACAGCTTATTTAAATCCTTATGGAACCTATATCTTTTTGCCTGCTGAATTATAGAAAGTTTTTAACATCTCAGGGACTGCGTAGAATTAGATTGAACAGAAAATATTATACATTTTATATAAACACTGTATATTTGCAACAGGAGATAGCATCGGTTGCTCTGAGAGTTCTACTGGAACGTTCGGATAGTAGAACCTTTGGATGATGGAACGTTGGGATAGTAGAATCTTTGGATGACAGAAGGTTCGGATAATAGAACCTTTGGATGGTGGAATCTTCGGATAGTGAAACGTTAGTTCAGTGGAAGGTTCAGGTAGTTGAAACTTCGGATAATACAACGTTCGGATAATAGACATTTCGTATAATAGAACGTTCGGATGATAGAACGTTCGGATAAGAGAACGTTCAAATAATAGAACGTTCGGATAATAGAACGTTCGAATAATACAATGTTCGAATAGTAGAACGTTCGAATAATAGAACGTTCGAATAATAGAACGTTCGGATAATAGAACGTTCGAATAGTAGAACGTTTGAATAGTAGAACATTTGGGTAATATAACGTTCGAATAATAGAACGTTCGGATAATAGAACGTTCAAATAATAGAACGTTCGAAGAATAGAACGTTCGAATAATAGAACGTTCGGATAATAGAACGTTCGGATAATAGAACGTTCGAATAGTAGAACGTTTGAATAGTAGAACATTTGGGTAATATAACGTTCGAATAGTAGAACGTTCGGATAATAGAACGTTCGAATAATAGAACGTTCGAATAGTAGAACGTTTGAATAGTAGAACATTTGGGTAATATAACGTTCGAATAATAGAACGTTCGGATAATAGAACGTGCGAATAGTAGAACGTTTGAGTAGTGGAACATTTGGGTAATATAACGTTCGGATACTCGAGTATTCGAGTAATGTATGTTCGGATACGGGAGGCTCAATAGTGTTTCGCTTAATTATCGTAATTCAGCAAATTAACACTGTCCAAGTGAACAGGAATTCTCTGTTTGAGCAGCGCAAACGAGTCACGAGTCGCCGTAGACGCGACGTGCCCCACGGCGAAATTGGGAGGACGCGGTGTTTCAGCACGTCACCGTTTATCCCATCTGTTGCTTGCTTTTTTTTTTTTTCTTTAATCATCATCGATTCCAGACAGCATTTGAAGCGAACTTTCGCTGAAAAACGAACACTTGGACGTGGTCCGTGGTCATCTTCGTCCTCTTGACCCAAATCCTGCGGGCTTCTTACGGTCAATAATAATAATCG